AACCCTGAAAATTGAACAATGACTGTAAACTCAGAAAACTGAACACTAAACACTATGACTGAACACAATGACTATAAAAACCAGCATATATATACAATATAATGTACTTACAAGTATAGATCTTTCGAGCTTTTCACGTAGTATTGTGTTTAACAAATTTGGTTCTGCCTTATTCTTGCACAAACCAGTAGCCTGCAGATATGAAACACACAGACACATAAGATTTTCTAAAAGAATAAAAGGATAAAAAAACTTTCAAACTATTAATTTTAATTTCAAGTTTTACCACTCCCTCTAAGAACAGAAGAACAAATTCTCTTTTTGCTGGAGATCGATATTTTTGTAGTTCATGAGGGTAATCCTTTAGTAGTTTGTCCACCAATAATTCTATCTGAGCTCGAAATAACTGGACCTAAAATTAATAAATCTCAATTAATTATTCATCAAGGAAAAGTTAAAATGAGCAATATTTTAAATAGAAATTCATATTAATACCTAGAAGAGATAAACTTACAGGATTCATATTCTTTAGTAAGGGGACTTTTTCTTTTTCAGAAGTTTTTTGCTCCTTGCATGCATCAAAAATCGTTGGGGTAGTATTAGATCTGATATCTCCTACCTTGTTCATTCTAATGATATGATTCTAATTGAAAAATAAAACATACTTCATTACATAGTCAATTATCGTATTATATGCGGTACAAAACGACACAAATGTAATTACATACCTTGCTGATTTCTTGATGGGTAACTGTTGGGGACTTGTCGTGCGGTCCAAAACAAATTAAAAATTTATAAAATATCCTTAACTAACCCCCAAGATATAATCAAATAAAAACTATAGCTAGGGCAAGTAAGGGTCGATCCCACGGAGAAAATTTGTACTTTTTAAAACCAAGCATGCAAACACATTGTCACAAAAAAAATAAAATTAACTACTACACGCATAATAAAACTTATAACTAAATAAATATAAAAACTTATAAATATAACTTAAATAAACAAAGAACTTATAATATAACTTATAAACACAAAACACATACTTAAGATATACTAAAAAAGTATAAAAACTTATATTTATAACTTATAAAAAACACTTATATATTAACTTAGTA